AAAAATGTATGGAGATTTTAAAAATAATTTTTAATTCAAGATAAAGCAGTGGCGTAGTATTTTTTTCGCCAAAAATATACATTTCAAAACTCGTACGTACGCCATTGGCAGAGAAAATTATGAAAATTGTAAATAAAAAAATTCGCCTTGAGGCATGGAACATATGTACCAAATATGCCAAAGATGTCTACAAAATTATCTCAGTTATTATTAAAAAACTGATTATTTTTGAAAACTTTGCCACCCTGTATCTCAAAAGTTAAGGTGTTTATGGCATACGTCCATAGGACGTTTTTTCCTTAAAATGGGTCTAAGAATTACCTCCTTAAATATTAGCATGTGTTTAAGGAACACCCTGTATACTATTGAATGCTGCTATTTTATGCAGTATTCGAGGTCGTGAAATTATCTATGACAATGTCTGTATGAGACTGATAAGCAGTTGAGCAAGTTCGAACTTGTCAATTACACTCATCATCCAATTAAATTCACCACTGAATTGGAGGTGAATGAATCAATACATTTTCTAGGCATGTCTAGTGCTGAAAATCTTCACTGTCGAATAGATCAAGATTACCTGAATGAGTTGACTTTTGATTGTTGCTCACAACTTCATATTGGACAAATTTGGAGAAACTTTTTCCAAAGAATATAGAAGCATAAGAATAGTTTGTTGAATGTGAATACCGTTTCCACATTTGCGAACTATATTTTGGCAAGAATCCAGAATATTTACTGAATGACCAAATAGAATTTTATTAAATTTATTTTCTGATAGTAAAATTGGTAATTATTTATTACTTCAACTCAGGTAGTTTTATTTTATTACGTTTAGAAAGGTCTGTTTGTCGAAATTTGTCTCCTGATATTTATGTTCCTAGATAATTAGTTAATACGGACTTACACAGGTAAACTTATTATTCATTAATTAGGTAGAAAAAGTCATGTAATTCAAATCAATAATGCGAATGAAGTATTTAGTAGGCATAATTAAGTTAGTATGAAAACATATTAAGAAGCCATCGTATAGTGAAACACATGTCGTGGTTTAGTAAACTGTTACATGATTTCTTGATTCAGTAATATCGGTCAAAACACCAACCACATGAAAAGCGATACAAACATGTTCCTTAAACGAAAATTGGCAAGTAAAAGGATTACAGTGAAAGATTTTTGATAAAAAAAAAGTTTTTTTCTTTCTCCTGTTCGTTAATGATACAGTATGACTACAGTTTTTTTTCTATTCTTCAGGAATTTTTTCTTTGAAGTAGCGACATATTAAATTTGTATTTTTTCAAATCCAAAATTTTTTGGCCCTGTATAGAAAGAAGTATAAACAGATGTACTCAGTTACAGGAAATGCTATTATTACAGAGTATTTATGAAATAAATATAAAAAATAATGGAATATAGAACTGTATAAAAGTAAATGCTAAAACAAAGTATATGTATACGTAGAATTTCGAAAGAGGAATGAAAAATTGAGTATATAACACAAAAATTACAAATCATGCAATGTAGCAGTACTGACACGAATGTTATTTATATTATTATTAGAAGTGATTGTGGATACATGATACCAAGGCGTTCAGAGATTTTATTAAAGCTACTGCACATAAAATTCAATGGTGATTGTAGCATAACATTTGTGCGTGACGCTTCGCAATAGAATTTCAGATTGTGTCGACCTTCACTTCTTGGTACTAAGAAATTGATCTCGCGTAAAAGAATCATACTGTCAATATTGTTGTTCAGTAATTTATGCAGGAATTTTATACCAAGGATAACTCTCCTATTTTCCAAAGATGTTATATCAAATCGTGTCAACAAAATGTTATGATCGATGCCTCTCGTGGGATATTTTCCATCAACTTTTAGACAAAAGACAAGTACTACAGAAAAATACTCAAGGTGCTCTAAAAGCGGTGCCTGTGCGAAAGTAGCGACTCACGTTAGATTTGAATCGCTGGATATTACATTCATTCAGAAAATCGCTGTCGGAAAGTTTATTCTGCATAAACGCAGTTCTCTAAATAAAAGAGTTTTTAAACAAGCATCCTATTTGCATCAGCAGTCATATTCCTTATATGTGTTGTAAATGTTAATTTACTGTCGTATGTTATACCAAGATCTTTTATCTCATTGGACGCGGTTGATTGTAGTATTGTTGATTGAATAGTCGTACATTAAAGTTTGCTTTTTTGTTGTAAATGATATTATTTTACATTTGGATACGTTCAGTTGTAGACGATTATTATTACACCAAAGTTTGATTACATCTAATTCATGTTGAACACGTTGCCAGTCAGTAATGTCATCGATTTTATAACAGTTTCCGGTCGTCTGCAAATAGTAGGCTAGGAATATTCAAAGAGGTTACCAAGTCATTAATACAAATTAAAAATAAAAGAGATCCAAGATGAGAGCCTTGTGGTACCCCAGATGTAACTTATGTACTGAACTGTTAACTAGATGTGATTCAATTAGAGTAAGCAGTTGGTTAGAGAGTCCAAATTTTGTCAATTTGCTGAGAATAACATAATGGTCTATTTGATTGAAGGGCTTTTTGAAACTCTAAATAAACAACATCGACTTGTTTTTGCTTGTCCAGGTACATACAGAGATATTGATTTAAAGATGCAAGATTTGTCATACATGATCTTTGTTGTACTGAAACATGCTGAGTAGGTGAAATAACTTTTTGAATATGAGAGTTCATAACATTTTGCACACATTATTAGAGGTATAGAGATGACGTCGATACAGTCCTTCACAAGACTAGGAACATTGTTAACGCCTGTCAACGCCTGAAAATAGAACATTTTGAACAGTCGTTTCAACGATTTGATTTAAAACGGCTTTATCACAATTTGTCATGAAGTTGGGTAGTGAAAAATTGTTATCATTGAACCTGATGATGTACCTAAAATCCAAGTTGGCCCTTGCGTTCATAATCACAGTAAGATCGTTTTCTGGTTGTCATAATTTGCCATTACTGCGTCATAAATGAAATGAAATGTAATCTTCACAGGTATTAATGGAAAAATGTAAATGTACATGTTTATTCGCAAAAACAAAGAAAATTTTTGTGCTAGTGAAATGAATAAATATTTCCACATGAGTCGCTCATTTTCGGCATCGAGAAGGCCATTAAAAATTATACTAGTTTGCCCATTTAATCGAATTCGTAGCAACAGAGTTGGCAATGGTGTCGACCTAATTTGGAGCACCCTGTATACCAAACAGTGGTGAAAAAATAGTAGAAAAATCGAAATTACCTTATGTTCCTGAAATTTTGCATGTGGCATGGAATTGCATTTAGAAAAACACTTATATGGCAATATTTTGCGAAACTAGTCCAGTTTTGAATTTTTTTTTTTTAGAGAATCAAAATTCTACAGATAATGCAAATCACGTCACTACTATATCGAAACAGGAACTGATGACAAAGTCAAATTCCGAATACATCGATTGCTAAAAGAAAATCCCATGAGATGAGAAATTACCTACTGGTCTACACAAATAATATTAAAAAAAAAAGGATGAAGATTACCTGAGCGTCTACGAAGAGACGTCGCATTAGCAGCGCCATGGCGGCATGGCGATGTATGCTGAGAACAATTCCCGTTCCGCAAATCTACGAATTTGATCCATTTCAACCATCTTGAGGTACCTATAACAAAAGTTCATTGTTTTCAATCCTTCTGATAAAATTTCAAGAAACTTTTCTACAGTTGGGACAAAGGAAGAATACACGCGCGTCATGCCTCCGATAAAAACGACGTAACACTCTAACTTTTCGATAAAAAATTGTTATTGTTATTGAAACTTACTGAATAGTACCCCCTTGTTACGGTTGTGTGTCAGTTCCATTGGACTCATCAGCACTTCAATAATTATTCTCTAAATATACAGGGCTTTTCATGATGAGCGTTAATTAGCCGTTTCTGGCATACTATTCAACGGATCAACCTGAAAATTCCACAGTATGCGTAAGTCATTATGACCTACACGCCTAAAATGTTTTAGACGAAGCGGCGTTGTCGCTTCTACTATAAAGTAGCGGCTTCTTTGATTTTTCAAATGGAATACCCCGTATATAATATCATATTATGATTCATCATCACTTTGTCAACAAATTCATATACTATTTCCCTATACCTATCTATTACCGTTTAGAAGATATAGATTAATTTCGATATTTTTTTTACCAAACATGAACTTTTATAAATGCTGATAATCTTGAACTCTCTTGCACTAAAACAATCAAATTTGAAATGGAGTGGAGTGATACTATGAGGATCTTCAGTCCGAGTCATATTTTCATTTGCCTCATACAGGGTCTTCAAAAAATGCAGATACTTTGATCTCATGAAAAAATGGATGGAACTCAATTTTTTCAAATGGAACACCCTGTATATTTCAACATTTTTGAGATCTACATCCAATTTTAGAATAACTTTGTTCAGATAATACTATTTCTATTTTGAACCGTTTTCGAGATAAACTGTTTCAAACGGAAATTGACATGGTTTCCCTGTTCATCACTCATTTTTGTAAAACAGATTTCGTTTGATGTTTCTCAATTGGTCCCAGATAATACAATGGAAAGATAATTATTAAAATACTCCTCAACCATCGAGTGAAACTTCTCTTCAAACAATAGTTTTATTAACGCTGAAACACGAACTGAAAATAATAAACCCATAAATTGATGAGTTAATTTAATCGGCAGTGTATTTCAGGATATGTTCAAACACATCTCCACCTCTACTTAAAAAAACATGTAATCTCTTCAAAAGATTGTCATGTGTAGCGCTTCTGATCAAGTCTGGAGTCAAATGTTCCATTTGAAAAAATTGAGTTCCACTCATTTTTTCATGAGATCAAAGTATCTGCATTTTTTGAAGTCCCTGTATGAGGCAAATGAAAATATGACTCGGAGTGAAGATCCTCATAGTATCACTCCGCTCCACTCCATTTCAAATTTGATCGTTTTAGTGCAAGAGAGTTCAAGATTATCTGCATTTATAAAAGTTCATGTTTGGTAAAAAAAATATTGAAATTAATTCATATCTTCTAAACGGTAATAGGGAAATAGTATATGAATTTGTTGACAAAGTGATAATGAATCATAATATGATATTATATATGGGGTGTTCCATTTGAGAAATCAAAGAAGCCGCTACTTTATAGTAGAAGCGACAACGCTGCTTCGTCTGAAATATTTTAGGCGTGTAGGTCATATTGATTTATGCATACTGTGAAATTTTCAGGTTGATCCGTTAAATAGTTCGTCAGAAATGGCTAATTAACCCTCATCATGAAAAGCCCTGTACTATTGAGTTGTTTCAGAAGTTTTGTCCGTGTTCGTGAGTTTACTTCAAATTGTAATATCTCAATGAACACCTGTTAAATTTAATCGAAATGAGCGCTATTTGAATCAATGCACTTTTGCCAACGTAACAAAAGTCGGATAATTCCGTCAGCATAAAAATTGGCTGCTCGTGATTCGATAAAGTCGACGAAGGCGGAAATTTACTTCATACACAAACAAGTCAATAGAAATATTCTCGGACAGTCAAGCAGCGTTGGAAGCTCTTGGCTTCTACCGAGCAACGTCTGAATTGGTAGCAAATTGCCAAAAATGACTCTCCTCGATAGGAAGACTTAACAGGTTGTCTCTGGTCTGGATTCCTGGCCATGCTGGGCTGAAAGGCAATGCGGCTGCTGACTCCCTTGCAAAGGAGGGTGTTGCAAGCAGCTTCATCTGACCAAAACATGTCATTTGCTTTGCTTGAGGCTTTGCCAAACAAACATTGAACACCTGGATGGCAAGAAGATTCATAGACTTCTGGCAGAATCTTCCAGGATTAGCTCACGCCAAGCCGTTTATCCACCCATCGAAGCTTGATACCAAACATTTGATACCAAACCAGACAATTGGAAAAATAAGTTGCTGGAACTAGTTCAAATCTCATCTTCATGTCAAGGATGAATAAAAAAGTACAACAATAAAGAAAAGTGTTCTGAAATATAAACAAAAATCAGAAGTACCTGGAAGTAATATCAAGAGACTGATATTAATGATGTTTTCACAAGAAAAACCGATACGAACTTTCTACGAGTATCTTTAACGCCCCCCTATTCCCATTTACGAATTTTTATTGGAATATCCATATTATTCTGAGCGAAACCATAACATAACTTACCGAAAACATAAAATTATTCAAACACTCAAAATGGAAAAGCCCAGAAACACGTAATTAATATTGCTGCAAACCAAGCACAAAAAAACACAATGAATGAAAACTGTCACGGGCGTCATTTGTTTTGCCATATTACTCTGTTCAAGACAATGCCTACTGTGTGTCGACACATTACTTTTGCAATTTATCAGTGGGATAAACAGTGAACGTTTTACTAGCAGAACAACTCAACATATACAGGATGCACCAAAAATTTAATTGACTGGGATACTCATCTGGAAAATGGTTCTAATGAGAGGCTATGAGTGTTGATACATAAATCGTTTAACATCTCAAAACAGGTGTCAAGTTGCAAATGACACTCGTTATATTAGATAGTTTGAGAAGTTTTGTCCTTTTAAGAGTCATGTGTATGTGTAGCTTCATACATCAATGAATATTTATTCTACTGTGTCGTTATGTTTACTGGTCGATAGAGAAATTTGTAGTCTATACAGGGTATATCTTGACGAGTTAACGCGATCTATATATGGAAAACTGGAAGTAGAGCGGTTCTAAAAATTGATAGGATGGATGAAGAACTAATGGAGAATTCAACTGAAATATTTTCGTTGAGGTGACATTTCGGGTTTCACCAGAAGTGATGTCATCTTTGTTATTTTCAACAGCACACCCTGTATTTCACCTCTTTTTTTTAATTCTTCCTATGATTTAGATAGCCATATTCTTGGTCTTGTAACACATCCATTTTAACAAATGTTGAGTTTTGACTATCTAAAGTTTTTCTTATCCCCTTTCTTATATCTATTCTGACATCCTAATGTTTACCATTCTACAATTATGTTAGGTTATGTTTCACACGATACCACTGAACAGGTACACATTTGGCCAGTTAAACTTAAGCAACTGTTACCAACATTAACTGCAAGATTTGCATTGGTGAAAGCCAATTATTTCTAACCGATCGTTAACTCTGTCTTTAACTCACTAACTGGCTGTGGTGAAAGTGGCCCTAACTCATGTATCATACCCTATACCTAAAATGAACCGTTTTCAAGTTATTCGAGTTTATTTAGAAAAAGTAATAGATGCAGGCTCTCGAACATACGTCATTTTCATGTAAATTAACATTTTTAAAAATGTGCAGTTAGTGAATCGTGATATTTGAAGTTTGAACGGATCACGCATCATTTTCACGTCTACTGAACAATCCACAGGGTGCGCAAAAATTAGGTTCCAATAAGTGAATGAGAAAAATTAAAAATCTCAACTTTTTCAAATGGGAACCCCTATTTTTTTCCTCAAGGTTCAATTCTATTATAAAAATAATCCCTAGTTTTGACTCACTTCCCTATACCCAAAACTTATAATTTTGGAGATATTCCATTATTTACATACTTTCCCGAAATGTTGATATTTTCAACACAATGTTTGGTGACAAATGAAATAAAGTCGTTTATTGTCAGATTCGTACTCTCAGAAGGTAAAATATGGCTCGTGCTGGTTATAATAATCACGATTTCTTTTACTTATTGGTGATTTATGGCGAATGCAATAAGGTGTTAACAAGAACATGTGATGCTCATGCTATAAGGTATCCAGAAAAACCGAAAACATCTCCAGATATCATTAGAAGATTAATCTTCAATCTCACGAACTTTGGATCATTCGAAAGGAAAATTATCAAAACTAAAACGGTGGTTGACAATGAAGATAATGCGATTGCTTAGGTACTTCACTGCTTTTCCAGAAGCATCCAAATTGTCTCCAACCGTATTTTCATTGTATATCAACGACTTATTGGAAAAGACCAAGAATCCAAATATTGCTTTGCTGACGACAGCACACTCTCATTTCATTTGGATTCCAGGATATCGGCTACGGAGGCACATCTTCATCGGCAGAAGAAGGTTGTATATCTTAATGAGGATCTAGAAGTAATTTCGAGTTGGGGTGAAAGTAACCATGTTCAATTCAATGCCACAAAAACCCAGCCATGGGTTTTCTCCAAGAAGAAAAATGTCTCCGAACCGGATATAATAGTATAACGTCGGACAATTCCGCTTTCTGCTTCGATAAGTTTGTTGGAGGTTAAAATGGACACCAATACCACATTATACTTATATACAGTAGTCCCACTTAGCGTCGGTCCCTTTGATGTTGGTGTCCAGGAGTTTCAGTTTTTACAATGCTGACGTATTTGACACTAATGACATTTATCCCTACTACAATCTCAACCAAAGAGTCTAAACACTGCTCAACATAACAAATATTCATATAAACTGCTCAAAAAAATACAGTCGATGAAAACCATGTTGGGCAGGCACCTGAGAAAATTGTACAAATGATAATTTTGCATTTGTGTAATATTTAAGTAACCCGGATCATTTGGACAATGATGAACTATGTTTCAAGTAGATTTTAAAAATTCATGGGATCGGCAGATGTTCATATTTGGATGTGA